GAAGAAAGCAAGTTGCGAGCACATTTTTGCTTAAGTAGTGTTGGTAATATTCTAACACAGAATAAAAAAAATTTCGTTCAAAAGCAAATTAGCCATACCATAAGACATCTTTCACTTCGTTCAAGGCTGGATTTTATGGCCAAAACATCAGCTTCGTCATAATGGACACGTTCGATCTGACATTCTGGCTCTTGACAACTGGATCCGGAAACGTTTGGCTCGGGCACAAGCACATCAATAGCCTCCATATTACCATTTTCTCCGGTAGCATGTGAGTTATTTGAGCAGTATATAAAAGGTTCGTCAGAATATTTGACATCCTTTTCATGAGACTGAATCCTTTTTGATTTCTTCTTAGAACGTTTATGCTTCTGATTTGCAAAGCATTCATCAACTTTAATGCTGACAGGCTCAATGCAATTTTGGTCCTCTTGATTAATCGTTTCAGAAAATACATCGACCACCTTGAGTGTGCTAGAACGTCGGCGAGAGTGGGCTACTTCAACCTCATCTTTGGGTTTAAGAATGTGTTCGAAGACGATATTCGAATTATTTGGTGCTATGGGCGCAATTTCATTTTTATTTTTTAAAATTGAACGCGGGGGATACTGATCATTGTCAGAACTCTCTGATGCACCACGGATTAAGAGGCTTTGCCGCTTTAACTCCAAATCTGCATCATTAATGATCGTCGGGACAGGAACCAGGCCAATTACCTTTCGCTCCACCTCAAGGACTTCAGAATCTGAGGTCTGCGATTGATTTACTTCATTAGGATCATCATCTGTAGAATGTTGAGAAACTTCAGAAGAGTCACCAGCATGTTTAAAAGCGGGATGAACAGAATCTGTCTTGATCGTTTTTTTCTTTTTTTTTGAACTTGGTTTTCGTTGTCGGGAAGTAGGTACGCAAATGCTAGATTCGTTTATAGACAATGAGGTAGGCGGAACATTTGAGAGTTGAGGTCTCAGAGCATAAAATAATCCACAAGATAGGCAAAATACAATAAAGGT